TTTTTAATATCCCGGATATTAAGAAGTACTTTCAAATCCCAAGCTAAACTGGCCAGCATCAATTAACAGTGAAAAGAAAAAGAGGAAAGAAGTGGGGGTGGGTGGGGAAAGAGTATATTCCCTACATGTCAGAATCTTTTATACTGCTGAAAACTCATAGTTCGTTTTGAAATTATGATGTAAAATGCTATTTTGTATCCAGAATTCCAAAATCATAGGAGCCAAAAACCTACCTGAAGATAACAGTTCCTATCGTAGCGCTAAAAAGTAATTGTACTACTTTTAGTGAGCTACCTTGGTCAGGAAGTAAATCCACCAGGCAAGAATGCGTACAGACGGAAAGATACTGAGTTCTTAGAGTTACAGACGCACACTCATGGAAGAGTATCACGTAAAAGTTCATCAAGGACATACAAGGAAGGCACTGCTAGCATTCTAGCAGCTAACTTTCCTTTTATGGATACAGTGACAAAGATTTGCTACAGGAGTCTGCATATATTTTGGATTCTATTAAGAGCTTTTAATAGAATATTTTCACTAAAGACATTTTTGCTTAAAAAAAGTGGGCAATGAAATAATTTTAAATGTTGAGGACTACTAAAAAGATATGAGACCTTTTTCTCTGGCTCTGACTTCACTGAGAGTAACGTAGTGTATTAAAAAAAGAGAATGCTACACCAAGGGTATCTTTCAGTAGAACACTCAAAGCCTGGAATCAACATAAAATCTAAATTCACAATCCAGCACCTTACAAAAAATTATAACTTAAATCTAATAAAGTAGCAAATAATTTCATTAGCTTCCTTTCTACATTCCCAGCAGATGATCACTAAAAATGACATGTTAGAAGAAAGATCTGCTACTGAACAAACAACATGGAAGTAATGATGGCTGCAAAGCAATTCCGCAGGGCAGGAAAAATTCTAAAGATAGCAAATAGATTGCCCAAACAGCTGTAGCGTAACAAGCCAACACAAGCAAGGCAAACAGAACAAAGAGTACAGAAACGTCACACAGAAAAATCAAGCTTAAATAACATGACTTCAGCCTGGAATACTGTGAAATATTAGCAAGTAACAAATTACCTTGGAACACAACAATCAGCTTCATATAGGCATATTTATTTTGCTGCCCTGAAAAAAGGCAAGCCTGAAAACATGACTATTCACAGGCATCAAATATTAGTCAAAAGTTCCAGTAACAGTGTCAATCTAGTGCTAGTGCTCTAGCAGAAAAGAGCATCTCTGCTTTTGTCTACAAAATAGCAACATGGCTCCTTCACACCCAGCCTCTGGATAGCTTCTCTCCTTATTTAATAAAGTAACTCTAAACCCTAAGAACTGGTGTAGGTTAAGTAAAATTTTTCTGGAATTGTCAAATTAGGATAGTATTTGTTTTAAAAAAAAAAAAAAAAGCTATTTGTATTTATTTCCTGTTGCTGTTCTTACAAGTTACTACAAAGTTAGTGACTTACAACAATATGAACTTTTTATCTTAAAACTGAGGAGATCAGAAGTTCAACATGTGTGTCACTAGTCTACAATTAAGGTGTTGCTAGGACTGTGCTCTTTCAGAAAGGTTATTTCTCTGGAAAAACAAAACTTGCAAAATGTAACCTTCCTTGAGAAAAACCTTCAGTTAACAAACTGCAAATGTCCATTCATATACACAATTTTTAATTCAGATACCAAAACAGTCAGGTTGGAGCCATGACTAGCAAGTATGAGGCCCTGAGTTCAAACCCCAGTGCCACCAAAAAAAAAAAAAAAGAGAGAGATTAAAATTCAGGGTAACACAAATAATAAACAAATGACTAAGTACATTATTAGAAGGTGGCAAGTGTCATGAAGAAAATTAAAACTGGGAGCAGGGGATATAAGACAGGAAATTTTAAAGACAGCAGTTAGGAAGGCCTCCTGAGAAAGCATCATTTGAGAAAAGAAATCAATAGAGGTAATTTAGTAGACCCTGCAATCTAGAGAGAGCAATGCAGCATAGGAAAGGCTTGAGACTTGTCTGTAGAAAAGAAAGGTAGCCAGATTGGAATGAGCCAAAGCTAACAGTACATGAGTTCAGAGGTAAACAATGCATACTGGGGTGAGAATATATCGCACAGGGTATACAGATGGCTTTGTAGAGTCTTTGAAGGTGTCTGGCTTTTGCTTTTAGTGACCAGCAATCACTAAAAAGTTCTTAGCCAAACTCAGAGTTCTTATGTTAAGAGCCGACTGTAAGGGACAGCAAGGACAGAATTGACCTGGTTTAGACCAGGGTATTGAGAAGTGGTCAGATTCTGGATATATTTTGAAGGCAGAGTCTGACAAATAGGAATGAGATATAAGAGAAAAAGAGAAGAATCAATGATGACAAAGGCTTTTGGCTCATGCAATAGAATATGAATTTGCCATTAATCAAGGTGAGAGTCGATGTCTAGAGCACATTCTTTGGGATTACTGGATTCTAACCCTGTGTATCATTTTGAGTTTTTGAGAAGTCCTTAAAACTTATAGGCAACTAACAGATATACAAATTCCATCCTTTCTGGAAGTGATTTAAATGATGTCCTTTGCCCCTTTCCTCTTTCCTTCCCCTCTTGTTTTTGTCCCCATTTGCAACTGATCTTGATATTCCTTTACTGTATCTACATGATGTGCTGTTTTGACTTTACTACACTAGTCCCACCCCCAGATTCCACTTTTACTGATGTCAGGTTTTGGCACTGCCAGCCACAACCTCCACTCACCATTGACATACATGACTTATGTGAAACTTACACTGAACAACCACATAAAGTTGCTTGCTCAATAGTGTTGAGGCTTTAGTTTACTTTTGCTGTCTCAACAACCCAACCTTCCTCACTCCTGTTTCATCAGTTACAAAGCTGGCCTGAGGTTGACATCTTTTTTCCAATTTTAAATGAGAAAGTCTCATTTATATTTGGTATACAACTTTATACTTAGTATACATATTTTGAATATCTCCAAAATGCACACCATCAATAAGCCAGAACATGCCATATCTAAAGAAATATGGGGAACATAAGACAGGCAAAAAAGGGGAAAATAAAGAATAATTTTCAGTACATGCAAACTTCTATTAGTCTAATAGTCAAGTGTTTTGTTTTTAAATTAACCCAAAATAACGCAAACAAGAACAAAGAAAGTGTTTAATGTATTTGATTAATGTTTACAGGATAGGACTACAAAAAGACAAGTCCATAGCCTTTTGTTTAACAGTTTAGCATGATGTTATACAGTTAACAGTCAAAAATACTAGCTTGATAGGAAAGACTCTCACATTACCGAGAACCAAATACAATCAATCCTTGGCCGTAAGGATCTGGAAACTTTGAAGTGGCAACAGCACCTTAATAACAAACTTGCAAAAGAAATAAAACCAAGTCCAGTACTGACCCTGCCAGGAGTTTTTGTTCCACCATTAAAAAAAATGAACTCACATCTATTAACATGCAAACAGGTAGAACAGTAAGTATTCAAAAGAAGTAAGTAGAATGAAATAAAAGGTAGCACCAAAAAGAAAGAACCACCCTAAGGCTGAGCATGGTGGCTCACACCTGTAATTCAGGCTGTGCAGGAAGCCCTAGGCAGGAAGAAAAATGGGGGAAAAAAGGAAGGAAGGAAGGGAGGGAGGGAGGGAGGGAGGAAAGAAGGGGGATGAATAAATGAATAAAAATAAAATCCTTTTGTATCTACAGCTTAAAAAAAGACAATCACATCATATGTAGTCCCCCAATTTGAAGAGGAAAAAAAATCAATGAAATGGGACAACAAAGAGAGCAGAATATGGCTTGGGTGAGTTTTCAACCCTAGCCCTCAAGGATAGAAGAACACTGGAACAGTTGCTAAGTGCTAGTGGAGTTCAGAGGGGATCATCTGCTGATACATACTTTTGCCAGGATAAACTAAAATAAAAAACTTAAGATTTGAGGTTGAGGACATGGCTCAAGTAATAGGGCACCTGCCTAGCAAGCACAAGGTCCTGAATTCAAATCCCAGTACCACGGCGGGGGGAGGGGGGCACACCTTACATTTCTTAAAATCTATTCACACAGTTATGTCTTTCATATTCTTGGGCTATATATAGGGAAATACGTAAAAACAAATTAGTTCTGGGAGTAAAAATGCAACTAAGTCTCATTTAAGGCTTAGCTATTGTTCTACACAAAGTTTAACCATACCAATCACTCAAAACTTTCTTAGCAAAAGTGAATGTCAAAGTAAGCATCTCATCGAAATAATATAAGTGAAATTCAAACATGTACTAAGAAAAATACATAATAGGCTCAGGTAATTGCTTTTGTGAATTACATCACAAATAATTAATTCACAGTCAATAGCTGGAGAGAAACTCTGCTCTCATTTGTCTGTCCTTACAGCTCTGAACTAATAACTGGGCCCAATATTCTGAATTTCTTCTTAGGAAAGCATTAAAAACATAATATATACAAATCCTAATCTGAACTATGGAATCAGCTGGTCTGTGAAATCAGTTCCATACAGTCTGCAAATATTTACTACACGACCTAATTTTAAATTAACATCAGCGTTTTCAAGGTCAATATTATGTTTGTTCAACTTCTTAGAGTCACACATTCTTGTGTTATTTTTAACGTATGACTAAAGCCTCTATCATCACAAGATGCTCGCAATGCTTACAAATACTCAAAAACAGCAGCTGACATTCCTCAGTCACATCTTACTATAGTAAGTAAGAGTAGCAGTTTTAAGCACAAGGTAAGTTTGCTTTACCTCAAGTTTTCCTCCCCTACTGATGGAGAGACTTGTACAAAATTAAATGTAGAGAATTTAGTACAAAGTTGACAAGACCACAAATACAGATTTTTATACATGCATACTTGAAAATATAACTATCATGCTGAATGAGCTCAATGTTATGTAATATTGACCCTGCTTATATTTTTAATGTCATTTTCAGTAGCATTTGCTCTTATTCAAAAAGTGCAGAAAACAGAAACTTACCCACACAAGCATTGAGGAATAGCCAATCAGTCTTTTTCATCCTGTTTTTAATTTGCTTCAGTTTTTTGAAGTCCACTTCAAGTTCTTCCTTACTGCCAACAGCACCAGCCAATTCAATCCTCTGAAAATCCATTTTCATTTCAGAGTCTCGTTTCGTCGTAGGAGGTGATCTTCTTTGGCTATTACCACTACTGCAGCTTCCCCTCCATCGAGCTCTATCTTGCTCATTTATTATTGAAGAAGCTTCCTCAGTCTCTGCCAACTCTATTGCTTCAATGTTATTAGGTCTGGGATGATCACAAACAACACATTTTTTAGCCTTGGCCCAGTTTTCGTACGTGCAAATAGAACAAGTCCAATGCTGGGTCCTTGTGTTCAGTTTGTTTCTATCATTGTATTCCTCACAAGGATCAACAGAAAAAGCAACTGGTCTTGAGCCAGATCCTGAGGATTGGGGAGATTCTGTGGGACTCCTGGTCCTTCGTTGGGATAAGCACTGGGTACATCTGATTGCTCGTGGCCAGTTCAAATATGTGCACATGTGGCATGACCATTTATTTGCATTTTCCATGCTGTATGAAGATTTAACCCTTGGTCTTGCACTAGAGTCTGGACATATCAAAGGACTACTTCCACCTTCAGTGCTGGAAGGATCCCAATCTCTACCAACATCACTTGAACCACTTTTGAATGGATCTTCTGTAATAATTGTTCCACTAGGTCTTTGGGCACGACACATAGTACACTTGATCGCAGATGGCCAGTTTTCATACGTACAGTATTCACAAGCCCATTTAATTCCACGTTCTGACATTGTGCACTTCCTGAAGTGAGTTATGTCAGGCAGGAAGCTATAAATAATTAGGACATGGTTATTAAAACAGTAACTACATAATTCCACCTCTGAAAATATGTCCAAAAAATAAACACACCCTTCGACTTAAAAAATATATTTTTTTCAAAATATGCAGGTAAGGTTTCACATTGAATTATTCTACTTTAGGATTTCCCTAGAGATTCTGGGGATAAATTCCCAAAGAAAACTCTTAGTCCTCATGAGTTAATGAAATTTTACTTTGGAATGCAAAAGTGATTGGCAAGAGATTAAGAGATTTTTTCCTAAAATAGAAGGAGGTTAAAATAGGGATGTCACAAATAGAAATGTTTGATTTCAGGTCTGCTATCACCATGAATTTAGAAAAGTATCCAATAGTTAAAAAGACTCAGAGAAGTGAAAAAACATACACCAAATAATATCTTAAATACATAACCATTCTCAAACTACAAACAATGTAGATTATGGTATTTAGGTATAGTGTAAGTTTTGATTCATGAATTCAGACAAAGTCATCTGTATCATTCTTGCTAAGGGAGTTTAAAAGCGCTAATTATTCATTGCTTTTAATTAGCACAGGCAGAAAAGGAAGATGGTGGAGAGTAATCATCACAATTAACAAAGTAACACTATGAAACTGAAAGTTCTTTGATATCCTGTATATCAAAATTGAGCTCTTTCTAGAGCACAAAAAAGAAAACTGCACATTACCTACACCTGGGAAAAACCAAATGGACAGAATATTTGAGATAACTACTAGCGCAGTCATGCCAATATAATTTTGAATTCAATATATGAAATTCTAAAGTATACTCAAAATTCAATTTGTATTAAAATATATTCACTAGTAAAAGTTCTTAAAAGCTGTAATTCCAGCATTTGGAAGGCTGAGGCAGGAGGATCTCAATTTGAGGCCAACCTGGGCTACATACGGAAACCCAGTCTCAAAAGAACAATCAATCAATCAAGTTCCTAAGATTCTACAGTGAGCTTACTAACACTCCACTATAATGAAGTCTTTATTATATAACGGCAACTAATTCATAAGTGAAGCAACTTACATGGTAAATTTAATGATTTTTTAATGGCTTAAATTTAGACACTGAAGCCAATCTCACCATTTTCTTAAATCCCTTCTCAACTCACTATCATCCCACCACCTTTTCTTCTTTCTCTCACTGTCCCTTCTTTCTGTCTGTCTTTCTTTTGAGACAAAGTCTCATACTGTGTAGCCAAGGCTAGCCTCAAGCTCACTATCCTCCTGCCTTAGCTTCCAGAGTGCTGAGATTACAAATTTGCAACACCACACCACACCACTTATTTTTAACCAGGAAAGAGAAATCCTAGACAGAGTAACAGGTACTTTTCCCTCTTCCTCAGAGATTTTTTCCTAAACTCGGAAAGCAGAATTACTTTGGAAGTATATTATGGTCCTGCCTACTAACACACCCCCTTTATAGTGTGAACTTTGCTAAGAGGACTTCACTGTAAGAAAGGGTACTATTTAATAGCTAAAATAAAAATCACACTTACTAAGATTTTAGTTTCCATGCTACAACCTTCACCTTGCACATGGTTAGAATAAAAGCACAGTTATAAATCAGATCAAAAACAAGATTCAGTCTTCATGCTGGCTCAGACTCTGACTTCCTCAGGAGATACTGCAAAACGTGATAAGTGGTTCTGTCTGACTGTGAATAGCTATTCCTGTAAAGGAGACCAAAACTGAATTTCACTTATATTCTGCTAACTTACCCGAAAATATTTTCTACAAAGTTTTAATTATAATCAATTATATTTTAGTTTACTCATTTATTTTAATTGACTACTATATTTCAAATTTTAACACAGCAATAAAAACAGCTAATTTATAGGGCTGGTCAGTCAAATTAAAAGCATGGGAAAGACAAACTTTTCTATATAACATTAAATGTGGGTGTATATGCATGTGCATACGTAAGTACTAACATCTTTTTAATTCTTTTGAGGGTTGGGGGGGTTCCTGGGGTTTGGGGGGTTTTTGTATTGGGGTTTGAATTTCAGACCTTGCACTCAGGCATTCTACTTTTTGAGCCACACCCCCAGTTCTTTTTGCTTTAGTTATTTTGGGACAGGGTCTTGTGTTTTTGTCCAGGGCTGGCCTAGACGGTGATCCTCCTACAGCTTGGATGAGACAACAGGTGCATACTACCAACCCCAGCTATTAGCTGTAATGGGATCTCGCTAACTTTTTGCCTGAGCTGGCCTCAAACCAAGACCCTGAAAATACAGGTAACTGAGCAATACCAAAACCAAGCTCAAGAGGAATCTCAAGAGAAGCTCAAGAGAAAAGTGCATTAGATAATGTTGTACCATATCCACTCTTTGCAGAATCAAAATTTCATAGGAATATTGTATTTTGGTAACTGAAAGCTAAAATTCATTGGAGAGGATTATCTGAGAAGCCATTTGTACCTACGCCAATTAGTAAACAAAAGAACAGGTAAGCTCTATTGTGATTTTTTTATGGAAAAGAAATTAACACCGAGTACCGTCTTCCTTCCAGATGTCAAAACATACCAAAAAGTATATAAAATTATTTTCAAAGCAACCAGCTCTAAAAGTTAATGCTATATCTTGGGGGGTGGGGGAGAACTCATTTTAAGTTAACATATATTCACAGTCAAGTCGATTTAATTTGAAAGTCTAATTTTGCATGCCACATAGCTCTCCAAATTCTATCCAAGAAATCACACTTCATTTAATCAGTATAATGGAATCTAGATAATCAGGACTTCTTTAGAGAAATGGACAAAACTGCTACTCTTAAGAAAAATATCCTTTGGTTCAAATGCAATACCACAGTTCCATCCTGTGGAGCAATGCGTTCAGGAACCCATTTGTGTATCAAACTCTAACAATAGTATGAATAATGTCTCCAAATAGACCAAACATTTTCTAGTACTAAATTCGTAACTGCTTTTACTTCTATACTTCCCAACTCAAATAACAGTAAAAAAGCATAAGAAGTATTATTAACGGCTGTGGGAGGGGCAAGTATTTATATATTTTGTAGCCATGCTTAATGAATTCATTAAACCGTATTTATGAAGCATTACTAAACTCTATACAAGAAATATACCTATACTGAAATCAATTTCTCAAAGTGTAACTTTAATACAGATCCCATTCATTAAAAACCCTATGAAATGCTCTGGGGATACAGCTCAACGGTAGAGTGCTTGCCTAGCATTTGCAAAGCCCTCTTAAGCATTTTTGCTTTCTAAATCCGTCCAGCTGATGTTACCAGAACAGACTTTCTGAAGCTTTTTGTAACAGCAGAAAACTCTCAACTTCTTACCATTACATACTCCCAAACACACTATTCAGACTCTCAACTCATGCGTGTTTTACCACCCCCAAAGATATACGCATGAAGGCACTGCCTTAGATACACAAGCGAAACAGATACACACTTCTAGCGAATGCTACACCATCCTTTAACACACAGTTAACTCTCATTTATATCCTTTGTTAAGTTTTCAAATCACTCCTCCAAGTACACAGAAAGCATCATACTGGCTTTTGGACTTACTGTATTTTCTCCTAGGGCTAGTTTACAGATATTAATTTGTGTATATTTTTCCTATGTCATTTCCTCCTGTCAATTTTCAATCAAGGTAGCCAAGATTTCAGATACCATGTCTCAAGGATTCTAGGAGCACAGAATGTAGACCAGTACCTTGTGTTTAGCATAACCCAAGATCATTTTGAATGACCTGAAAAAAAAGAAATAGTGGAAGTTTTGAGTAATCTCAGGAAAAATTAGAAAATGAGATCAACTCCATCATTACAACTGCAGAAGTAACTATAGCTCAGTTTAAAAAAAAGTGTCTGCAAGATACAACTAGGTAAGAAAAAGTTAAAATAAATTAATTAAATAAAAAGCCAGGAGGTATATGCTTATAACCCCAAGCACTAGGAAGACTAAGGCAGGAGGATCACAAATTCGAGGCCAGCCTAGGCCACACAGAGAGTTAAAGGTCAGTCTGAACCACATACCAAGACCGTCTCAAAAAACCAAGGTTTGGGGATATAGATGTTCAATGCCCTTGGAGCCCCAGCATCACAGAGAGGGGAGGGAGATACCTGTTCCCAAGCCACAGGTACTGGGAACCCACATCTGGCAGCAGAGCAATAGAGCCAGAAGGGATCTTAGGAAGGGCAGGGAAAGACAATACAACCAGAGCAGGCAAAACACTAGCCATGTGATACCAAATCTAATAACCTGAGGAGAGGGAGCCCTATGGATGCCTGAGGTTGAAGTTCCTGACAAGAAATTTCAACCTGAATTTCTGGACTGGAATTCAAGTTTGATTAAAAAGTCTTCCTATCTCTTCAACCAGATTATAAACTGGCAAAAGCTATCACATCTGTTTTCTCCTCATTTCATATCACAGAGGTTAGGTTCATACATATGTATGCAACTATATCAGCAAATACCTAAAATGTTACACAGCAAGTTGTGACTTCCTTTTTGGGGGATGGAGGGAGTAAGGGATTATTGAGATTATGAACTCAAAGCCTTGCTCTCATTGTCTCTACCACTTGAGCCATGTTCCCTGCCCTTTTTTGCTTTAGTTACATTTCTGGTAGGGTCTTTGCATTGTTGCCCAGAGCCAGCCTCAAACCAAGCTCTTCCATACCTGCTGGACAAAGTAAATTTAAGGTAAGTAACACCAGCCAGGATGACCGTGGCCTTACTGCCATTACGCCACACTTAACTGAGGCAATTACTCCTACAACTACAACTGGTACATCTAACTTCATTCCACACAAAACAGTCTTTGAAATGTAACAAAAAATTTAAAGTCTACATTTTAATCTGTCAAGAATGCATTAAAAAAAAACCGTAATAAAAGTTACAAATCTAAAGATGGGCACAGTAATACATGCCTGTAATCCCAACACTCAGGCAGAATGGCAAGTACAAGGCCAGCCTAGGCAACATGGCAAGACTCTGTCTCAAAAAAAGAAACAACAAAAATAAGTTCCAATTCTAATGGATTTTCCCCCCTTTAAATACTTAGCAATCCATTGCTTAGAACAAAAAAAAGAGCTGGAAGACAAAGTCACAGTTGTGTCAAATCACATGACTCAATATTAATGCTCTCTTTTCATCTACCTTCTAGCCATTTCAAGAGAAATTCTAACTCTGGGGTCTGAACCCAGGACTCCAAGCTTGCAAGCAAGCACTCTAACACCTGAACTATATCAACTCTCTCTAAACACTCACAAGAAAGGGAGCAAGAATAATGCATATATATCTTCAGCCATGGTAGAACTCAGCATAGTTCCTGTATAGTTTCAGAGTCACGCACTACAAATTACAATCCCAAACAAAACTAATTAAAGGTAAAAATCTAAGACATTTCCCAAAAGTCTAACATGCACTCAGAAATGTAGAGAGATACACGTAGATAAAACATTGTCTTTGTGGTCAGGAAACCTGCAATCTAATTGAGAGACTATCGTTGAGAGAAATCTAAATGAGACTATCGTTTTTGTAAACATGTATGGAAATGTAGCAACAGTAAAACAGGGCTGGGGTTAAAGCCAGTGGTAGAGTACTTGCCTCACATGCCTGAAACCCTGGGCTCAGATCCACACCACTGCAAAATAACACTAACAACTTTTTGCAAGCATTATGAATATGCTCACCACATTCAAAATTTAACTTCATAATCCTATCCATTCTCTGCTGAAACTGTTCACTGATTAGTCCCAATTTACAAATTATTTATAAGAACCAAAGGTCATTAGTATATCCAGCCCTCTAAAAGTCAGCTTTTTATCAAATGCTATGTGTATTACCTATGTGACAGAGAAAGGAGGGGTAGAAACTTAGAACTTTTAGACAATCAGTAAGAAAGAAAAGGTTGTGAAAAGAAGGCAAAACCAAATGGATGAAATAATCCTAGGTAATACCACTCAGATCTACTATTTTGTCCAAAAATATCTTTTTTTCAGAAGACACCAGTGGCACACACCTATAATCTTAGCTACTCAGGACACAGATATCAGGACGATCACGGTTCACAGCCAGCCCCAGCAAACAGTTCACGAGACCCTATTTTGAAAAACCCATTACAAAAAAGGGTGGTGGGGAGGTTCAAGGCCCTGAGTTAAAATCCCAGTACTGTTTTAAAAAAAAAAACAACTTTTTCACAATCCCTCCAATCTGTTCAAATTTTCTGTTACTTTGCCTCAACTCCAAACTACTGAAGTTATTTGAATTAAAATGTATTTTATAAATACAAGTCATTTATAAATGTTTATTAATAATGTAAAGTGATTCAATTAAATCATTGTCTTCATGATTCCTAGTGTGATGAATAACAAAACCAGGATAAGGATTTATTTTTATCATTGTAGAGACAGGTAGAACGAGGAGGTAAAAGTTTAGCAAAAAGCATCATAGGGAGGAATGCCAAAGACAGCAACAGGCTGAAAACATTGCTTACTCAAATCATTACAGGTAGGTGAATATCAAGGCCAACTTTGTCTATTTCACAATTTTGGCAGGATCAGCCTGATTCAAGTAGAAAACAGTAATAGCTAAAATTTGCTAAGCAGTTGCCATATGCCAAACATTGTTCTAAGCACATTACATAAATTAAGTAACTTACTCCTCAGAACTACTATTAATTCCAACTTTAAAGACTGGAAACAGGCACAGAACTTACCTAATATCATCAATTATTAAGTGGCAGAGCCAGAGTATGAAGTCAGGCATTCCACATCCAAATCCTCTCTATATGTATTATGTAATAAGAACCCAAGTATACTGCAGCTCACAGTCACCTGTTCCCACTATCCAAACTTTGGACTATTAAACTGCCTGAATTTTTCCTGAACAATTCCTCCCAGATAACTACTAACATGAAATATATAAACATTTTCGAAAACAAAAACTGTTAACACACAATTCACATTAGCTTTTTTAAATTACAAAGAATCTTCACAAAGCACATTTAGATTGAATACTATAAATGTCTAAAAAGTTGAACAAGTAACCAGGACTTAGAAAAGTCATTTATAAAACAAAATACACTCGCTGGGAGTGGTGGTGTGTACCTGTAATCCCAGCTACTTGGGAGGCAGAGGATGATGAGTTTGAGGCCAGCCTGGGGAAAAAGTTAGTGAGATCCTACCTCCAACACAAAATAAAAACTAAAGAGATGGGGGGCATGGCTCAAGTGTTAAGAACATGCCTAATTTGCATGAGATGGGGCCCTGGGTTCCATCCCCAGTACCTGGGAGGGAGAGGGGGAGGAGAGACAAATATAGATATACCCACACACTATATTTAGCATCTAGAATTGACTAAAAGGAAATCACCATGATTTTAGATTATAAAATACCTTCTATGGGTATTTCATTTTGTATTGTTTTGGAGACAATCACTGAGAAAGAAAACATTAATAAAACAGTGCTGGGGATAGAACTCAGGGCCTTGAGCATGCTAGGTAAGCAGTCTATTACTGAGCTACATCCCAAGCCCCTGATTCTGTTTTGTTGTTGTTGCTGTTTTGGGTTTTGTTTGGTCTGGTTTGTGATACTGGGGATTGAACTGAGGGCCTCTAGCTTGCTAGATAAGTGCTCTATCACCTGAGCCACTCCCCAAAACCTCAGCCTGACTTCTTTTAGACTAATATACACCAATTCACATTGCTAAAAAACCATGCTAATGTCAATTAAGAATAGAAAAGCCTTCCATTTTCATTCAGCCAAGTGAAAATGGAGTAATCAGACTGAATAACATGTACATGAATTACAAGACCTATACACAAACCCATCTAATAGGATAGCAACGAATGTCTGTGAAATAGAAGTTATACCCTGTTTGTTTTCAGATTTCCAACTGGAAGTGAACTGTTACAATTTAATATGCATAATATTAAATAAAGCAATTTAATAAAGGAGATGCAATTTAATAAAGGATAAAGATTCTTTTCTTCGTCTGCAGAATAAGTATTAATTTCTTCATATATCCAAGAAATGGTTTCTTACAATAATCAGCTTAGAGTTAAGAATTATATTGTTAAAGCTAAGTTAACGTAAAGAACTAGTCCTCAGACCACTGGATAGCCACGTTCAAAAAACTTAAGTTGGTTCAGCTGGGCTCACTGCCCCATCGCTGTAATTCTCAGCTACTCAGGATGTGCAGATGAGGAGGGTGACAATTCAAGGCCAGCCAGGGCAAAAAGTTAGCATGACCCTATCTCAATCAATAAGCTGGGTGTTGTGGCGTATGCTGGAGAGTGAAGTCAGGAGTACATTAGGTAGACGGCCAGCACTGGGATAAAAAGGCCAAAAAAAAAAAAGGCTGGGGGTATGACTGAAGTGATGCATTGCCTGCCCAAGGTACAAAACCCTGAGTTCAAAGCCCACGAATGCCACCCAAGAAAAAAAATTAAGTTGAATCCCTACTTCATATCATTAACAAAACTTAAACTGACCACGGACCTTAATTTAAGAGTTAAAACTGTAAAATATTAGATGAAAACAGATATAAATTATCATGATCTTAAATTAGACCATCAAGTAACAACCCAGAGGGTACAGACTTGTGCCACCATCACTATAGTCAGTAAAAAAAAAAAAGACTAATTGGAAAAATGGGCAAAGGATCAATAAGCCCATTAAAAAAATATGTTTAATGTTATTAGCCATTAGAGAAACGCAATTAAAAGGAGGATATGCCACTTCACTAGGATGGCTAAAATTTTAAAAAGACAGTAATAGCTAGGCATAGTGGTGCACACCTGTAATTCCAGCACTCTGGAGGCAGAGGCAGGAAGATCTCCAGCTTGAGGCCAGCAAAGGGCTGGGCATGTAGTTCAGTGGCAGAGTGTTTGCCCAGCATGTACAAGGTCCTGGGTTCAACCTCCAGCGCCAGGGAAAGCAAAAAAAAGAGACAGTAACAAGTGCTTGGACATTCCTGATAAGAGATATAAAATGGTACAATCCCTTTGGGAAACAAGACAGAAGTTCTTGAAAGGTTAAACAAAATTACCATTATCACCCAATAATTTCATTCCTAAGTAAATATCCAAAAGAAATGAAAACTTGTGTCCAAAAAAAACTTCTACACAAATGTTCATAACAAGTTTCATGACAATCAAAAAGTAGAAATAACTTGGCATGATCAATTAATGGATAAGAAAAATGTGAAATATCACATACAAAAAAATATTATTCAGCCACAAAATAGAGACAGATGCTACAAAATGATGAACCTTGATAACATGTTAAGAAGCCAGACACAAATGGCCATATTCTGTGATTCCATTTACATGAGATATCCACAACAACCAAATCTATTTGTGGTTGCCATGAGCTGAGGGCAAAGGGAATGATTGCTAATGGCTATGTGTTTCTTTTGGGGGTGATTGAAAATATCCTGGAATAATACAGCAGTACTGGTTGCACAACTCTGAATACAATGAAGGTCACTGAACTGT